AGAAGAAGAAAAGGAAACTTTTCTTTGCGTATGTTCCCACTATTGCCTTCTCTTTCCCCCACAGCCTGAGGACCAGAATTTCTTCCTTTATGTTTTTAGGCATGGAAAAGTAAGCATATACTTAAACATTTTTTTAAGGTTTAATACTCAAGTCCAGCCCTACTTAAGCAAAGAATTCACAGATGATATTTACAAGTCCAGTGTAATTACTGCAGGGTTGAAAAACGAGTTCTGTGAGTTACGGTACATCACTGTTTTTTTTTTCTTTTTTTTTTTAATGTTACAAAGAACAATGTGCCTTTCATTTCCTGCAGTGCTGTTAAGGTACTTGCAGCTCAAAGCAGCAAGAACACATTAAAACTAAAAAGCATTTGGTTTGGGCATTAAACATTTTTATTTTTTAGATAAATGCCTCTCCCTCTACATAAATTGTTTGAGCAATGAATTTGGCACACATTTGTAATCAGCTGTAATAATGAGTGCTGTCTTGCTCACTTGAAATGGGAGAATTTACCAACTTCTTTAAAAAGAATTTGCTAATCCACAATTAAAGTGGTGTGCTACCAACTTTGAGTTATCAAATCACAATACTACATGCTCGAGAGACATCAGTTGTCTGTAGAAAATGACAGAGCATTCTTCTGCTTTACACAGTATACTTCGTGTGTACCTTTACGCTGCAGTTATTAATTCGCCAGTACTACCACATCAAGCACAAACATCGCCTGGTGGATGTCTGACATCCATTTACTGACAGCAGTAACACAGCGCTGTACCACAATTATTAACGAGTTTGTGCTACACCCTCCTTGCCTTTCTCCAGAGTTAAACTCCTGCTGGAGCAGAGCAGGATTTGACTTTTAATATTCTGTGAATCTCTGAAAGCTAGAATAACAAATATCCCCACTTTGCAGACAAAGAGACTGAAAAGTTTTCCTACAAAAGTTTAAAATAATCCTACTTACAAAAAGAAAATCTATCTGATAGCCGTTTCCATGACTGAAAGAGAGAATAAAAGCCCTAGAGAGAGTCCACAGCAGTGCTGAGCTGGGAATTCAGTTGTTCCTGATCCCCAGGCATGCAGTCACTTCACTACATCAGACTAGCCATTTTGTCATCCTCAGTTCACTGAAAACTAGTTTGTTTATAAAATACAACACCAAACCAGTACATTTAACAAGCTTTTAAAATCAATAACCTTTTTTTTTGATTGGGTGAATTGCAAAATCACTTTGCGGTGCCAACTGAAATGAAGCCTTTACATACCATTAGGCAACTACAAAAGTGGGGAATTTTCCACACTGGTGTTCCACCCAGCTGGTCAGGAAAAAAACTCATTTGAGCAAAATATCAGGACATTGGAACATGCTCCTGCCTTTCAAATGAAGTTGCTGGCCTCTTTCATAATCCCTCCTGCAAATTTCCTCACCCACATGACAAACAGACAAATTCTGGGTTTTCTTCCTCTCCCCAAGAAGCTCCTTCCCATGCTAATGGACCTGAGAGACAGCAGCACCGTGCACACCATTCGGTTATGTGTTAGCTTTACCCCCGGTTCCAGGACAAGACATCTGGACCTTGGACCATGCATGCACGAATGAGCCCTGTCTTGCCTGCATGTTTGCTTTTCATGACCATCATGCTGGATCTCTCTCTCTAAAAAAAAATAAATGCTTAATATTTCTGTAAATTTTTGCAGTAGTGATCGGGTAAGTGACTGCCTGAAAACTATTCTGGCTTAACGAAGGCTGAAGAAAAGGCTAGAGTTGGTGTTAAAGCCACCACTGAGAGCAGAAGATGTCACCATCTTCTCTGTGATGATTCTGCTCCAGAAAATGCAACTGTAAAGCCCACTAGAAAAAAGGAGTGGCTCTAAAAAAGAAAAACTTTTTTTCCCATGAACTTCACTTTAATGAAGGTTAGCCATACAGGCTTTCCAAAAGAACACATACAATTTAAAATGATAAATTAAAATCTGTAGTAGGAGGCCTTCTTTTTCAGGGCTGTATAGTTGACCCTTTTGAACCTACATTACTCAAGGTATGCAAAATATATGTGTATAATAAATAGCTCTAGAATTTATGGAGTGGAACAGAAAGGATATTAACAGGCAAGTAGAGAGGCTGTATAACCCTCACAAGGCCTTTAAGGATTTATTTTTTTAAAATGAAGGAATGCATGCATGTAAAAGGTAGTACTTAATCGATATACTTCTTTGTGCCTTCCAGAAACACATGCAAAATGATTCCAAATCTGCCCTCAATCTGGTCATTCTGCTGTTAGTGTCAGTGGGAATAAGATTATTCACAATACTATTTTTCTTTGATTTAAAAAAAAATTCCTCTCTGTGTGGGCTCATTCCCACTCTCAGTAAAATCAATTACGAGACTCCCATTGACTCCCGAGGGATTTGGATCAGGCCCTGTGGAAGTGGGTCTACAGCAAGTGTAGAACAACGCAGTTAATATGATTTATTGTGTCCGTTTCTGTGCGTGCAGTTTTTCATTTTCTAAAGCCTGCAGTTTTGCTTTCATCCTCACGTTCAGTAGATAAGAGCTGCAGATCTGTGTTGATCTACACACTGGGTACACTGCAAGCTGGGGCTGTGTGTGCTGAGAATGAGCTCAGCGTCTGCCCAGGGGGAGCAACCCCTTTAGGGCTAACAGACTGCATTAGATGCATTTGTAAAGAAAATCTCCCACACAGGCACTGCAAAAGGTGCGTAATCAGTTAGGAGGCTTCTGCTGTGGTGGGGAAAAATACCCTTTAGTAAAACTGAGAAAAAGCAAAATCCTTTTCCTGTTTATTAAAAAAAAAGTACCTTTTGCAGGTCACCAGTAAAGTTCCAAGAATTCACTAAAAGCTTGTTTTACAAGGAAGACTCAGGCTCCAAATCACAGATATTTCATTTCACTAGGCTCTTACACATTTTACATTATTAAACACTGACATTGCTGCTTTTCAGGGCGTTGTTGAGTAACAGGCTTCCTTAAGACTAAGAAACTGCAGGGTAAGAATTATGGTTTAATAGCTGCGAAAGAATATTATCTAAACACGAAATAATAACATGCTTGGTGCCTAATACATTCTAAATTAAAATATGATTTAATAAACATGGGCAACATATTCACCACAAAAAAAATAGCAGAATTGGCAGAACAAAAATCACAGTTTAGTCAGTTCTTCTCTTAACCTCGGAATCCTTTGGCTACAAATTAGAATTTCTGTGAACAGGATTGATAAGGAAAATTAGGCACTGTCTTTCAGAAAAAACAGAAATGTTTTAAGATGGTATGTTTAGAGATGAGCAGCACAAAATCTATCAAAATATGAAACCTTTCATATTTCAATGGGAGGAAAATACAGGAACCCTAAAAGCCAAAATCTTACCAGCCCAATGAGCCCTATGTTCTATGTCTTATGATATATGCTGGTATTTTAAAGCTTTTATGTACCTAAACCTCTTCTTCTTCCTTTAATTCTGTCTGCCGTTTAAACCCTGATCCAAATGCAGTCCGGATGTGAATGCAGCCCTTCAACCTCACTCCCACTTGCAGCTTGTTCGGTGGCTAATAAAGTCCCCAAAACACACACTGAACACTTATACAGCTGCAGGGATTTGAGGCGAAAGCAGTTAGTTGCTCTGTGAAAGGGCAATCACAGTTGTATTATTACAGATACAATATTTCTACATGAGATGGATTTACATATCCCAAAATGGTGACAGGTTTTAGAGACAAAAACCCTTCACACATATTCTTTTCCGTGTATCCACAGTAGACCCCAGTACAGTGGATCCCCCATCTACATTTAGGTCTTATAAAAAAAATCTGGTTATGGATAAAAAAAATCAAGAAAAACTATTAATAATAATCACTTTCACTTTGGGAGACATTATTTCTAAGTCCTAAATATAAGTAGTAAAACAAAACTCAGTTGCCGATGGGCCAACAAAAATTGTTGAGGTCTGCCTTACTTAAACATAAAAAGGAAGAGAAGCTGTTCCCTTACACACATACTTATCTTTTCACATACAGTCCCTATAGAAATTACTATTATTGAATGATTTTTTTTTTGGGCTGCTTTACAAAGCAAGCCATTGGTTCAGAAGAAGCTATTGCTTCTACTTTAAAATGGTCCCAGTTCAAAGAATATTAGTGTTCCCAAAAGTCACAGTCCTGCTGCTACTTCCAAATAAGCTCAAGCCGCTGCCACCTGAAACAATGGTATAGCGAACATACAAAGAAGGAGCAACAGGCTCTAGTTGAGCCTCCCTGCCCTGCTTACCCGTAGTATCTACAACCTTTAAAGCGCACCAATAAAAAAATACAGACAACGCCGGTAGCACCTGTATCAGCCCTGCAGTGGGTACCTGCCTGAGCAGCTGGTATGTTTATAGGTGCACAGTCCTGCCCTGAAACTGCAATGTTTGGGAGCGTTGCTGCTCAGTTTTGTTTAGGAGAATTTGCAGTAGAGAATGGGTCTGCAGAAACATATTTCAAAGCAACCATTTTGTTTCGCGGGACTCTCTGAGATCCTGCACTCTAAAATGATGGCTGGCCACATACCGAAAGTTAGGTACTTCAGTGTGTCATGTGAGAGCATCAATAAACAAAATGAAGTTAAAAGCACATAGATAAAAATGAAAGCGGTGAAGCACACACCCCTAGGGGGTCATGACTCACGGCCCAGGGATTGAAAGCCTTTGCTACGGAGGAATAAGGATAAGGGTTGCATACAGCAGGCTCTTTAATGGCATCTCCCTAATTAAAACTATTTTTAAAGGGAAAAAATTACTCACTCCAGGACTGGAGAAACAAATGCTACCTTAGATTAGTGAAACAGGAGCACTTTAACTATGAGGAAAGTACACAACCTATCTGTAGCTATCCCATGTCAATTATTCTGATTAATCTTTTTATATTAGACATAGGAAAAAAATCTTTATAAATATGGGCTGTTTTAATATCCCAAAGCAGGAGCAGCAGGTAAGAACTTACCATTTTCTGGCTGGTCCTTAATATCAGCTTCACTTGGCTGGCTGGGACTTTCAGATTGACTTGAATCTGAAAAACATAAAATACAGCCAAAAATTACAGGGTCTGCTGTGGAAAATAGATCAGAGGCGCCAGACTTCCTCAAAAGGCTGAGAGTACAAACTAAGGACAGGAGTGTTGCACTAGGACATGATAATGCAAAAGTCCCGTGCCTAGGTAATATTTTTGCTAGGAAAAAAAAAAGGGAATCTTGTTTACGGCACTACACAGAGTGCTTGGTGTGTGTGTTAGCATAAATTAAGCTTTGAGAATCCTTCTTTTTAGAGAAGGCATATTTAAACTACTCTCCTACATGTTTTTTATAATGCCGCCTCTAAGTTGTATACAAACCAGAGCCTTAATCCAACACATAGTAAAGTCTCAAAACATATTTTCAAGCAGGCATATAAAGGTAACTAAGCAACACTACAAAGTCATGGAGATTGTTGTCTACACATTTCTGGAACAAAATCTGCAAAATTGATAGAAGAGCTGATTTTTGTCATACTTTTGCAGTGGTTACAGTACTACAAAATCACTGAAATGTACGGCGTTGTCCCTGATTTGCAGTGGTATAAATGAGGCCAGATACTGGATGAACTGCTTTAGAACTTGTGCAAATAATGGGTCCTACAAACTCCCAGCTAACGCTCTCCAACGAACACAATTTATTTGCTTAAAATAATAAAATGACCTATAAAAGGATATGTGTAAATATGAGTGTTTTGCATTTTTTACTCATTATTAACTCTACTTTATGTGAAGATGATTGCTCTTTGGTTCAAAAATTATTCCTAGTAGAAGCTTTAGTCAAATAGTATTTTCCTTCTTAATTATTTCTATCACTATGAATTGGGAAAAAGGTCCCTTTACCTGTGTGGAAAAATATTTTACAAAAAATCCCTCAAATTACTGTTTTTTTAATTAATACAAATAGAAAAAGATTTCTTTTTTTTTTTTCCCCCTCAGAAATTGTTCTGTAATTTATTGTTCCCATTAAAAAAGTTTTTGCTGTGAAACAAAACTTAGGAAATGAAACCACTTGCTACTGCATCAAAAACACCCCCAATCGTGGCAAACCTATTTTCTGACTTCACCTTGACTTTGCAGAGTTTAGAATTAGCTGTCTGAAATTTGACCACATTTCAGTGAGAAGTCAATGCAAGATCAAAAGGTCATGACACTTAACTGTGATTAAATTGAAAATCTTACTTCTATTGCAACAGAGTGATAACACCACCCCTTCTTTTTCTTTGAGGTATTAATAGCGCTGGAAGAAGCAGTACTACTAGTGACCTTGGGTCAAGCAATGCTAATTTATTGCTTTAAAAAGGTTCCTTGCTTTTAAGCAAATGAAGATTTTAATTACCGCAGAGCACTATAAAGAAAATGCCTATTTTAAATATTCAAATTTTTTTTACCTGCTGACTGTATGCATTAGGTATCATTCAGTAGCTTAGAGGACAATCTCGTATAAATTAAAAACTACAAGTAAAAAAAAGTGCTCACAAAACAAATTTTGATAAATTTCAGAATATAAACATTCAGAATATTTAGCAAAGAAAGCTTCAGTCCTGATACTTCTATTTAAAATCAATGAAATTCTCCTTAAAATTGATCTGTTTCCCAATGTGTCCAGAATCCATTTCTTCTCTCTTGTATTTATTATTTTTAATAATTTCGCCAGTGAAGCTCAGTGAAAAAAATTATTCTCACTTCTGCAATTTTGTTTTAAATATTGACCTTCTGAGTTATCTTTAACTGAAGCTCAAATCAGTGACAGCAGATAGACTACCGGGTAGTATGCACAGTGCTGTTATATTCTGGACACTAGATTTTGGCAAGAAGTTTAATGTTTCCGATACCGCAAAGGTAGAAACAAAGGTAAAATATTAGGAATGTAAAATATTTAGTTCAAAGTCAACATTCAATGGATTTCATTTTACAGGGCAGGCATTAGGCTTTTGCTTATTTTTTAGGTTTTTCTTTTCCTCCAGCAAGCCATGGTTCAACCAGCGTTTGGGCTTTATGTTTAAAGCAGGGTCAGAATTCCACAAAAATTTATATATTTGAAAAAGTTACTGCAGAAATATGGGACTCAAAGCATGTTTTCCTTTCAAATTTTTAAACAATCCAGCGAAGCAGCGAGAGGGATGAGGGCCCCGTGGCAGCCGCAGGAGCTGGGCTTGTTGCTGGTGCTCTCAGCTCCCAGCCTGGCACCCTCATTCCCCAGCACAGCCCTGCAGCCGGTGGGCAGCACACAGAGCGGGAGCTGCTCCTGGATTTTGAGAAACAAAGTACTTTTGTTTGTGTTGAGTGCTGTTTTTCCAACACCAAAGCTAGTGGCACAAGAGAGACGCTACTGGCCGTAGGACATTTATTTGCATACTGAATCTTAACTTTCTTCTTTTATTACTCTGGCTACTGCGATAACATTTTTCCTAATTCTGTTTTCCTGTAACCCACCCCTTCTGCTGAAATTCAATATTAATTTCTAAAAAAGACAACAAAGGCTTTAAGTGCTATTCTTCATGGAGACGCATGGAGCAATAAAATGCAGGACGATGTAGAATTAAAACCAATCTATACTGCAGTAGAGATCACGGGAGGCTACCGAAAACATGTACTGGGCAAGCGTATGCTCAGCATTGTTATGCAAGGTGGCATCTTGTGGAAACCCCAGATAAGAAGACCGAGTTAAGGCACTTAGCCAAAATGTTTATATGCAGAATTTTGCTTCCCTGATTTTATTCAGATGCTGCAGATGATCCGGTACATATAAATGTGCCGCCACATGGTTAAGGGATTGGCAAAATCAGAGCCATTGTATTTTACAGTCTTGCCTAGGACGAGAGAGTCTTGCTCAGCCTCCACCACTCGTTCTCTGCTTTTTCAGCAGTTGGCAGTAACTCCTGTCGGGGCTTTTTTGTTGTTTTGCACATGGAAACTTTAAAATTCCAGTTTTCTGAATGTTTAGTGTTTTGTGGACTTGGCTACAATGGGAGGGGGAATGTCTGTCCTGCTGAGTCAGTTAGCCAAACAGGTGACCAGAGGAATAAATTAATTTTTGCCCATACATAATTGATATAAATGGAAGATCGTTTTCATAACCATTTGCATTAAATCAATAAAATCACTTACTATAGAGCAGTTTAACAATTCATTTGATTTTCTCTTTTCTATATATTTGATAGCCACTCTGCAAAACAGTATACACTTTATGCCTATATTCTTTAGCAACAACACTGCCAGTTAAATTCTACCACCTGCAATAATTAGAGCCATTGGAAAACATACAAAACAAAATATACAGTAGATGCGAGCCCCTCTTGAATCCATGGCCCCCTGCGGCAACGAGCTTCATTGGTGCCTTAAGCTAAGGCTGGTAGGAAGCCAAAGAATCTGTATATTACAATAAAGTGCATGTTATTAAGGGGAGGATTTAAATGATTTCAGATGGAGTTGGAAATATAGTGAGGAACCTTAAGATTGCTGATTTAAAAAAAAAAAAAAATCACCAAGGAATCTAGTTTTATATTTAAGGAAGCTTAATCTTGAATAGCACAATGGGTTTTATTTGGGGGCTTTTTTAGTTAAAGAAAAGTTAGTGGTTGGATTTTTTAACCCTGAACTAGCCGGAGTTAGCGTGAGTATGTATACTGAAGTCAAGGTTACTGGACAAGAGAAGCTCAAGGGGATCTGGTATCAACTGTAATCATGAGGAAACAGGATAAAAAGCATGCCGAAGCTACTTTACTCTCTACTTCCAAGAATCAACTATGATTAAGGGATAAAGAAAAAAAACCCCAACAGAACAGGCTAGTTTTTCCGAAGTAGCATTTCCTACTATGTCTCTACTCTCTGTTCCTCTTTGGATCTGTTTCTTAAGCATATGCTACCCCAGTGCGACCGAGGTGGTTACACCTGAGACCCAAGTCTGCCTGATCTCAAACCGTAAGCAGGCAGGGACCTTCAGCTCCAGGATGGAAGCTCTGGAATTTTCAATACGCAATTTTCCTTTTCAGCTGCAGCAGGAGTGCAGCTCCAGCCGGGCTGCACGACGGCTGCGTGGAAGCAGGGCTCACGGTGCTGGAAGGGAGCGCTCCATTGTTTGGAAAGAATAAAACCTTCCCAGGAAAGTCTGGCCGGTGGACAGGACCAATGTCAACAGACTGACAATGTTGTTCTTTTTTGTAGACTGTGACACAGGCGGTGAAGAGTTGTTACACTCCTCCACCAAAAAAGCCTGCTTTGAGTGTCATGGCACTTCCCAGTGCTAAACCTATTCATGGCTACCTGACTTTGGAGAAACAGGACACTTTCTTGGGCACTCGCACTTTCTCGACATGCCATGTTTTCCAGAGCGTGCTGAATCCAGCCTGGGGTGGCAGTGACCTACAGGGACCGGCCTTATTGTCTGCTGGTCTGCGCAAACGGAATTAACGGGTGTCAAGATTATTTTTTAACTATGTAGAGCCAGCCCCCACCAGCAACTGAGCACTCACTAGCAGCCAGCGTGCTAATTCAGGTGCAGATGCATCTATCCTCTAAACAGTAAAGGTGATCCCCACATAGTGGAGAAAAAAAATTACCGGCAATGCCAGATGAGCAAGGCTGCGCTGCCACTGCCCATGCTGAGCCTGCTCTGCAGCTAAATAAAGCGGGCTCCCTTCTCCTCCGCTGCCAGCCCAGCACCTCGCAGAAGCACCGCAGAAGTGCACAAGTTAAATTTTCCATTCATATCATGTTTTAAGGGGGGGAAATATTGTATAATAAACTGACATATTCAATTCAAGTTTCAGAGTCCTATTTGTAATAAAAAATTTATATGGCTGGGTTGTGTTCATGCAATAAATTTTTCATCTATAATTTTGGGCATGGATTCTACCAAAGATTTATATACATTTAAAAAAAAATCTAAATCATGCTCCTTTATATACAGTCTTACGTGGTGAGCTTAAGGGATTTACAAACAGAAGCCAGCACCAGGACTGAGGCTTTTTTACTCTCACTTGCCCTTCATTATACAT